GAATGATCTCAAGTCTATCCAAGAATTGATTGATAACATGAAAGTACCATCCAACATTTCCAAGTCTATTTAAGGAACAACTTGGACCTGTCTTCAACATGTCTGTAAACATTAATCTGTGTTGTTCTATTGCATACTCTGACTATGAAAATATTTGCATTACTTAGAAGAACTTTCCACTTTATGGCTACACTGTTTGGCATATTTATCTTGACCTGCATTTTAAGAAAACTGGCAATCTTTTCCAGTGTTTCCCAACAGTAATACTTTGACGGGTGAATACTTCAACTATTTATCTAGTGATACAATATTGGTATCACATAAGAACTCAACCATTGGTTAACCAATAAAGGTAATCTGTATGGCAAAATAGGTTACCATACCAACAGTACAACTTGTTTAAATCATCCTTCATTAAAGCTTTAAGTACTCATAACACAAAAGCGAGCTAGATGACGGCTATGACGCCCACTTATTATTATCATCATCATCATCATCATCATCATCATCATCATCATCATCATTATTATCGGATTGTGATAAGCATGATAACATTTGCCTAAGGGCTTCAGTTACCTAAAATTTTCCGAAGATTAGTAGTATTCATCTGTCAAAGTATAGCTGCTGGAAAAGTGCCAGGCACCTTAATTCATTAAAATGAATTTAGGTGTTACCTTAAGTTTAATTTTGTGTTAGCATTATACAGATTCAACCTCGTTGAATTTTTTCGAAAATTGTTTTTGTATATTTATTTATTTTTATTTTCTTGTATTTATTATTATTATCATTATCATTATCATTCTCATTCTCATTCTCATTCTCATTCTCATTCTCATTCTCATTCTCATTCTCATTCTCATTATTATTATTATTATTATTATTATTATTTTTAATTGTAATCATTATTATTACTGTTCCTATTTGATGCTTTTTTGTCACCGGCATCAATTACGTATGGAAATCAACACTTCGTCGTTGGACTTTTCATAAATGAGACATCCTTTACACGTAATTACTATGTGAACTGTTTTATGTCTAGGTACGTTTACCACAATAAAAGATATAAAAACTGCAGAAAGACTAAGAAAATGCCTAATTTAGCTTTTATGTCTAAAGATCGCGAGCTCCTCTATTTTACGCGATCACACGCGCGTGAGACTAAAACTTCTAGTTTCCAGGCCCCCGAAAATATAGTTAACCGAAAGGGTAAGAACTAGCCAGACAAACCAAAACAGACTAGGCCCGAGCCTTTGGGTTATCCGAGCCGCATTTATTGCAGAGGGGGCCAGTATTATCTTGTCCATCAAAGCTAAACAAAGGTTTTGACCTTCACCTATTCTAGTGATGCGGGGGGCCTGCTCATCGGACACACGGATGTGTTGTCGAGGTCAGAGTAACGCAGAGGACAAATGGAGGTAAGCTGTTTACATTCACGTCGTATATCATTTTCTCTCGCTCGAGTCTCAGACATCTTTGAAAATGAGAAAGAGAATAACAAGTGAGCTAGTTTGATTTTCGAGGATGGAAGCTGAATACCTGTTAAGATGATAACTATATATGAATTCTACACGAAAGAGCGGAAGACGGAAGTGAAAATCTCACCCTTCGAATCAACTAAATTTAGATCGTGGAATCAAAGAAACTGAATGCTTCTTCCAAACCTCTCTTGCAACATGTGGAATTTAATTGTTATTATAAAAAAGCGAGAGGCTATAGAAGTCCACAATATTTATGGTAAGTGAATATATTTACAATAAGAAGACTGATTGAATTCGATTAAAGAATTTCATCCTAGTGAAATTCAAACTGTGGGGTGAATGAAACTGGAGGCATGTCAACCTACCACGTGTGTTCCACTAAAAACGTAAAATGCCTTTAATTTATTTGACAGTTCGACTCGCCAAAACTTATGTATCAAAACAAATTGTCTTTCTTATTTCAAATTGTCTTTCGCGGAAGAAGTTATGTTTCTAATGAAGGTTGGCCGCGAAGATCCTTGAAGTATTGATGTCCTTCCGCTTTCGGTTGTGCTTCTGCCTAAAAATCCTTGTGAGTAGGAAAAATGAGAGCCTTTAGAAGTCTCAAAGAGATTGTCATAGTCACGGCTAGAAATAACTAATAAATATAGACGTTAGCCTGCGTCGAAGACTAAACACTTTTTTTTCCGGGTTAAATTTCCCTTTGCATTGCAGGCAATATACATGTCAAGAATAATTTTATAGCTTAGGGTCAGCATGAGGGAATTATGGAATATTTTCAATTTTCCCTTTATCAACGTTACTTGACTTTGTCAGCAGCTACTAACAACTTGTAAAATGGAACATTTCCTGTTAAGATTCGCTTATAAATGAAATTTTATGGTGAGAATCTTGATTGAAATAAATGCTGTGCCACGTCACTTAAAATTGTTTATTTCCGTTTCGACTGATTTTTTTTTTTTTCGTTCGAACAATTCAAAGACGTTTTGCTTGTAATATTAACTGATGTGGTTTTAAACTAGACCATTCGCACTTTTTTTTTTCCAAGAAATTTATAATTTTCTCCCATCGGTAGGCCCCAGGCCCAACAGAGGTTCTCCCGGACATGGATCCAAGGCTGGTACAGAAGACAATTCGTATATTTCTGAGTTCAACTTTCACCGACACGCGAGTGGACAGAAACAAGCTTATGGAAGAAGTGTTTGAGCCCGTCAGAGACCTTTGTCAGCAGCACGGAATTGCATTTGAAGTTGTTGACCTACGCTGGGGTACGAATGCAAAATCTGCTAATAACATTGATGGGGTGCTTGGTTTGAAATTTTTATCTCCATAGCTAATAGACCTTTCTGACCATATCACAAAGTATCGACACTTTGTCGTATTTTTAATATAAAAAAATCCTATCATGCTAAATGTATTAGATATGCGAAGCTTCAAAAGAATGATTGAAATCTCAACATATGAGAAAATATGCATATGGGACCCCAAAATTGCAAATTTTACAAAGAAATGTGTGGTATGGGGTAAGCGTTGCCCCTTGGCATACATTTGTTATTCATTTATTTATTTATTCATTCATTCATTCATTCATTCATTCATTCATTCATTCATTCATTCATTCATTCATTCATTCATTCATTCATTCATTCATTCATTCATTCATTCATTCATTCATTTATTTATTTATTTATTTAATCACGTCCGTCAACATGCGACAATTCTGTGGTGTGACTGGAGACAATCCAATGGAGTTATCACTTTAGTGCGCGTGTTCATACTTGAATATATATATTTTTTTCCTGTTAGTGATTTATCTAGAGTTTCAAAAGTGCGGGAATATGAAAGATGAAAGTCTACTTTACAAAGTCTACCTTTCCAAACACTCACAATCTTATTACCCTTAATTTCATGTTTTTTAACTGGATTGTATCTGCCATTACATGATTATTACAGTTTCGTTCTCTCCCCCAGCCTCGTTAAAAACAATGTGTTATCAATCCATAAGTGCAAATTTCGAGAATTGTATGACAAAAGAGCTTTACTATCAACGCTTCTCTCTTCTAAAGGGTGGGTTTCATAAGAATGGCTCGATACCCTTTGAGAGAACAATAGTGGAAACAACAGAAACAATGCCACTAGCCCAAAAGCAATAAAAGCTGAATACTAAATTACAAGCTCACGTGTGCTGCTCACTTGCTCTTTTAGGTGTGCGTCAAGAGTCCGTGGACGATCATCGAGTTGTGAACATTTGTATGGAAGAGATAAAACGTTGCCAGGAAACTTCACTTGGCATCGCTTTTATTGCCATACTAGGAGACAAATACGGTTGGAGACCGCTGCCCCCGTCAGTCAACGCTGACGAGTTTGAATCTCTTCTCCAATTGATTGACCAATCAGATCGTGAGTTGATTACCACCTGGTATCTCCTCGATGATAACTCCGTTCCGCCGTGTTATCTCCTGCAGCCGATCTCGAGCCAGTTTCCCGGCATCAAATCAGCCGATAAAGACGAGATCTCTAAGGTACACCTTCTGAGATCTTAAATATAAATGATATCTTTATTGGGTACTTCAATCTGTTAGGTATTTATATTCTAAACGACGTCTAAAGTTGATCATCAATGATGGCTAGACAATTCGGGTTTATAATTCCTTATATTATTCAGCCAGCAACAAGTTGTTACGTAAACATACAGCATCTTCTATATGGAACAAAATGCCATTCTCGTCCTCATCAGTATCGACATTGTTATCGTTATCGTCATTCTCGACATTACCATCGTCATTCAGTCATCCATATTCATGTTGCATGAAGGACAGCCTGGCATAAGCGCCTGAAATTTGAATTGACCAACCCGGGTTCAACAGACAGGAAAAACTGTACTGTCCTGAGGTGAATGTATGTTAACGTGAAAGGCATTAAGATTGGGCAACTGGAAATTGGATTAGATATTCACGAAAAGGGATTTACAATTTCAAAAACCAGATCAGATTGTAAAAAGTAAAAAATGTGGGCATGTAATTCATGGAAAGACAAATATTGTCGCCTTCGGCTTCACCCCTTAAATGCTAACCGCAAGCAAACAGCAGTACTGAAATAAATGCTAACTGCAAGCAAACGGCAGTTACATCAAGCATTATATTTTTCTTAACTGCTCGAGCAGTTAAGGGGACAGTTTCCTTGCAGACTATAGAAAGTCCCCCTTTTTCTGATTTCAAAAATAGACGTGATACCATCTCTTGTAACTCACTGATACATTACCTCCTCTCAAGGCTTAAAAGTCACCATAAGGTTAAACAATTCGAATCAAGCCAACAAGCGCTTATGCTGGCCCTTATCATAATTCCAATTACTTCTCAAAGTTCATAGAGTACTTCTGGAAATTCGAAATGTGCCACCGAAAATTTACAGTGCGCTTTGAAAGCTCCACCGAAATGTGCTAACGATCATACGATAATTCGTGGCAGTCCGCGTTTATTTCCTACGTACGAACTCACGTACATGCACCCAATAGGAATTTTGAGTCGGCTCAAATAATACATGAATTAAACTTTGGTTTTCGTTTAGTTCGATTTATTGTTTGTTCATCAAAATTTGCCGAACCTCGCCAAATTCGTCAAATTTCTCTCAACAGTTAAATTGAATATGAGAGATTCTAAGAGCCAATTTGGCAACTGTTGAGGAGACGAAGTGCCGAATTATGAGGTTGGAGGTAAATGGCAGGTCATTAATTTTGATATCGTAATAGGCTAGGCTGTCAAGAAATCAGAATTGTCATTCTGGTATTTCCTTTTCTCCCCTTTTAGTTGACAGTTCACTACTTCTGGTGTTGTTGTTGTTGTACTTTAACCTCTCGACCAAACTTATTTAAGGGCGAAATACAATGTAAAACCCAAAACACTGTGTCTTTAGTTAAACTAAGAAAACGAGTTCTTGATTCTTATAGCTAATGACATGTAAAATGCAAACACCAGCCTTCTTCTTCGTATAGGAAGATGGCAACATAGACTCGGAATGCGTTCAGCTGTTGTCAGAGCTAAAGGAGAAGCGAATTCCAGCCTCACTGGAAGTTGGACGCATACTAAAGTTTACTAACTTGAGATGGCATCATGAAGGAATTCAAAACGTTGAACACGAGCAATATATTACAGGTAAAAAAAACTGTCAGCCTCACGAAATTAATGAAAAAGAAATGGAAACAACAAGTCCCCCTCGTTCCACCCGCTCTCTCTCTCCGTCTCTCCCGTTTTATGTCTGCCACACAAACTATGCTCATGCAACGCTTTTCACTTCGCTGGTCAGACACTAAAGTTACATTCGCCCACTTAAATTTCTAGTCACTTTGTACAACATAAACAGTACACATAAAAGTAATGTTCGATCGTCCACAGACTAAATGATTGACATGACACCCTCAATCAAGTTTACACAGTACTCGACTTTGTGAGCATTGTCTTTATAAAAAGAGAACTTAAGTCCTGATTTTAAGGGGCAGTGACAGACATTACAAGAGTTACTGGATAGTTTTCTGGAACGAGTTTTCATCTTATTCTATATATTTAACCGACCAAACCAATCTAGGAGGAAATCGTAGTTGATAAAAAGTAAAGAATGAAAACATCACAATATGCGTTTATAATTTTTTACCTTTCTTCCTTTCTTTCTTTCTTTCTTTCTTTTTTTCTTCTTTTTTTTTTTTTTCTTATCAGAAATGTGTAGTCGAGTCAAAGAGCTCCTTACATCCCACATCAACGAAATCTTGCAAAAACTCGGTCCTCCAAATCCACTGATGGAAGAAGTCACGCGTCACGCTCTCTTTTGTCGTGACCACACTCATTCGTTTCAGGGCCGAGCAGATATTTTGCAGGTTATCCACAATTACGTGACTGGAACCGATTCCGTAATGCCGTTAGTGATTTACGGTGAATCTGGAGTTGGCAAGACGTCACTGATGGCAAAGGTTGTCATGGAGATACAGGAAAAGAGCAGGAATGGAAATCTCGCTATAATGTATCGGTTCTGTGGAACCACTCCAGATTCGTCCACGGGTATTATAAAATTTGTTGAGTTGCTGTTCTTTCCTCTCCTCTCTTCTCCTCTCCTCTCCTCTTGTCTTCTCTTCATTCCTCTCCACTCCTCTCGCGGTTCTGTTAATTCTAAACCCACATGGCACACATTACTAGCCTAAACTTAATTTAATCTTTACAGTTATATTGTTACTAGGTCAGAAAAGACAGGATTCTCGATTTGAAAAGATTAATAACCTCCTACTAACCGAGCGCGAGGGCTGTACTGCGGAATATTGGTTCGAAGTCGTGGCAGTACGAAAAAGACCTTGGGGCAGTATTCCGACCACGAGAGAATCAATCAGAACACTCGGTTTTACCCCATGACAACCTTGCTATATAATATGGTTTCTTAATTTGGTTATCTTTTAGGTCGAGCACTAACTGAGAGCTTTTGTAAACAACTCAAAGAAGTGTATGGAATTACCGACGAGGTTCCCGAAGATTACAAAAGCTTATGTGAAGTGTTTCCCTCATTTATGGCACACACTGCCAAGGAACGACCGCTGTGTATAGTGATTGACTCTCTGGATCAGTTGACGGACGAGGACGGCGCAAGGCGCTTCTTAGAATGGCTTCCACGTAAACTACCTGCGCATGCCTGTATGATAGTGTCAACTCTCCCTGAGGAGGGTGGGTGTATGCAGCGTTTAAAGACATTTGGGATCCCAGCTAAACAGTTCTTGCAGGTAAATAATTAAATGAAATATAATTTAACTTTTGAATTACTGAATTAAACCCTTTCACCCCGTGGGGGCATAAGTCCTTCAGGAAGTCTCTCCATTGACTGTTTCCAGTTGAGGCCTGTCTCTCTCATCTCCTCCTCCTCCTCCATTGGCTGTTCCTTGGCCTCCCCATCTTCCGCTTTCCCTGTGGGTTTCATCTCAAATCCTGCTTGGTGGTGTTAGTATATATCCACACGATTAATTTTCTGTTTCTCAAGTAAGACAGCTCGTGTATCTTTTTTGTGTCAGGTGACGCGGCTCGACATGCATGATGGACCTGCTATCCTAGATGCTTGGCTTGGATCAGTCAAAAGAAGGCTGACCCTGGAACAGAGAGAGCTTGTTTTAGAGGCTTTTAACCACTGTCCATTGCCTTTGTACCTGCATTTGCTCTTTAACAAATGTCGCTCTTGGCCTTCATACAAGTAAGAGAGTTTTAAATCATTTTAGAGTTTTTATCACCTACGTTTTGTAACGCTTAATGCATATTTACATATTTTATCGCTTTTCAAATTCTCATGTCTTAATTCTACTCATATATGCAAAAACTTTAAATCACTGTTTTTAAACTTGAAAATGATTTCAGAGAGGTCGAAACGACGTTTTTTATCTCTAGTTTTTATCCTAAAATGTGTTTCGAAGAAACTGCTTATTACAATTCAGATTATTGACTCGTGGGTTTTTGTTAAAAGTGAAAAAAAAAAAAAAATTCTAAAGAAGAAATCAAACTTCTCTCATTACCAGAAAAACCGCTGACATCACCCTTGCCCCTGACGTCTCCGGAATGATACACTCTCTGTACCAGGACCTTGAAAAGTACCACGGTGAAAAGTTTGTGGGAAGAGTGTTGGGCCTATTGGCCGCTGGGACTGATGGGATGAATTCAGACGATATCCTTCATCTTTTGAGCTGTGATGAGGAACTCTTACAGGATGTGCTTGTCTGGCATCAGCCACCAAAACGCCGCTTGCCGCCACTTCTACTGGCTCGTCTAAAGCACGATCTCGGTCTCTTCTTAGTGGAGAGGGGTGCGCACGGGGTTTCACTACTGGCGCTCTATCACAGGTAAACATCTGTTTCTGCAACCTAAATGCTCAAGTGTTATGAGCAAATAATGATCTATTTGGGATAGAAATTGATATGCTAGTGACATTGTTGACATTGTTGACGGTTTGAATTTCGCATGAACGAGGTTTTTAATTCGAATGTAGAGATTCAAAGTCGGGCAAATTTTCTACAATTCTGTCTCCGCGTCTTAAGAAAATAAGAAAAAAGACTAAAAAAAAAGGCTAATAGCCACTTTTTCTTCCTAAATAATCAACATAATTTTGAAATATATCCATCTCAGTACCGGTGGTTCAGACGGATTTCTTGAATGAGTGCATGAGTGAAAGACTAAAAATTGCACTCGTCCTACAGGCTCATGCAATTTTGTTAGTCTTTGAAAATGTACTCTTTTTTTATTTTTATTTGTTTATTTATTTATTTATTTATTTTAATTTTATCTTTACTCTTGCCTATTCATTCCAAATTTCACTCGAATCTGATTGCAGCTCATAATCTCAAATTGGCCTCGCGCACGGTGCTAATCCGATTTTGAAATTCATCGCGCATCTACTCCCTGAATTGTATTTCCCTCGGTCCATTTGCTATTAAAAGTTATTTTCAGACACTAACAAAACTAACGCTTTTCCAAATCTTGGATTATTACAGGCAATTCTTCGAAGTTGCCAAAGAAAGGTATCTCAAAGGTGATCGTCACAGAGAAACTCACAGCAAGATTGCTAAATACTTCTTCGGAGAGTATCACGAAAAATATGGCAGCGAACGCGCCATTTCTGCGCAGCCCCACGCCTACTCCTCGGTCGCTCTCAACCTTAGGAAACTGGACCGACTTCCCGTGGCACTTTACGAGGCGCGCGACTTTGACGGATTGCGAAGTACTCTGGGAGATTTAAGGTTTGTCCAGGCGAAGTGCATGGCGGGAATGGGATATGACCTTCTCGCGGAGGCCACTAAGGCAGTCGGTTGTGCTGTTAGCGAAGACGCTGATCGTGAGGTATTCAAAGTTTGATGTATGAAGCGTGTTTTTTTGTTTTTTTTTGCTGCTTTATAGAAAGTCTTATTTCATCTCGAGAAGTTCTTCTTTCCCTTTAGATTATCTATTAAGAAGGAGAGCTTAGAGCGAGGCTCTTGCCTTCTTCTGGGCTTCCGTTCTCGTATATTGCGACCTAATGATACACTGGATTATACAATAAACCAGCCGGCAGCCATGCACTTTAAGATTTGGCCAAGCAATGAACACAATGGAGTTAAAATCGGATCAGATGAATTAACAAACGTGCTTACACTGCGGATATAATTAGCTCGCTATTGCTTTTATTACAGGAACAAACAAAAAAAAAGACAAATCTTCAATATTTATTCGGCTCTGTAATAAATGTAGGAAGGCTGGCATTGCGTATAATCATGCTCGGGTACACATATTAGTGTGCGACTGTAATTTAGGTTTCCAATCATTTAATGTGCTTACCCTTGAAGAAAATAAGATCGGAGAGTCGGATCTCAACGTAAAGCAATTAGAATTTTAATCTGACGTAGTCACTTGTTGTAAGTATATTTAAATCCCAGTGATGTCCTTATTAGCTTAACTACTCATCTTTCTAGCTGAGAACTAACTTAGCTTTCACTTTGACTGTTTGCCTATAGGTGATTAAAGATCTTCAAGATATTTTGGGATTCTTACGCAGTGAGATACATATCTTGAGCCGTTTTCCTGCCCTCACATACCAGCAGGCAGCCATGTACCCTCAACACGGGTGGATCGCAAAACAAGCAGAGCAAATGCGTCAGAAATTTGATCAACCCAACCCGAACAATATCTCTGCCCCAGAGGGGTGGGTGGAATGGATAAACAAACCTCAGGTCCCCGAAGCCTTCGAGCTCGAACTCAGTGGACACTCCAAGAGCGTTCTCTCCACATGTTTCGCGAGAGATAACAGGACCTTGTTGTCTGGATCAGCTGATGGGACCATCCGAGTTTGGAACAGTCAAACCGGGGAGCTGCATGCCCAACTTGAAGACCATCAGGGAGCTGTCACGTGTGTACGGCTCTCACCTGATGGTTCAATGATGGCATCTGCCTCAGCAGACAAAACCATTCGGCTCTGGAAATTTCCAGGCAATGAAACTATAAGGTTAGCATTTTCCTACACTGCGGCGACTGATGAGTATGTCTTTGACCTGCGACTATCTGAGAGATATAGTACTTATTTATACTATTTAACAAAAAAAAAAATGCATGACAATGAGGTAGTTATCGGAGAGAAAACGAAAGAGGATGTATTAGTGTTAAACGAAAATGGATTGCTGCAAGGTATTCCTTGCAGAGGTCATTTTCCTTTTTGTTTTGTTTTGTTTTTTTTCGTTTTGCCTCGTTACCCTGCGACTTTGCGTGAAGATATGTTTCGTGGGAATTGATCCCAAACATTGAACGAGTCTGTCAAACCTAGTAACTGATGTCATTTGAAGCTCTAGCCTTAAGATTTGTAAATATTTTTCATACGTTCTTAATTAATACATCAAGTTTTAATTTATTGGTACAGTTAATTATACCAAGCCCTTTTAATATTTAGAGTTGATCGTAGATCGATCAGGAAACCACGCTAAAACGGTAAATACTGTAAACATAGGTTCCCCTATACTCTTCGTCAACTGCATACCTTAGCTTTTACTGACGGAAATACTTTGATGTGCCATTTACAGCTTCGTCATCGGATAATAATTCTTGCTATCTTTTAAGGATCCTTGAGGGACATGAAGAACGAGTAACATGCATTGCCTTCTCCAAAGATGGGCAAAGATTGCTTTCGTCTTCTAAAGACAAGACCCTCAAACTTTGGGACCTAAGCGGCGATACGAACCTGGCGACACTTCCTGGACACAGAAGTTCCCCTCTATCGTGTGCCTGGTCCCCCGTAGATGATTCGGTTGCTGCCTCGTGCGGGGACAATCTGGAACTCTTCATATGGGACCTTAACAAGAGCTCCATCAGACTTACCTTGGAGGGACATCAGCGAGACGATAACCCAAATTTCCCTGTTAAAGACAGTTTGGAAGGCCTAAAGGATCTGGACTACAAATCCCTCATTTGGTCAGTATGCTTTACTCCCGATGGAAAGTACCTTGCTTCCGCGTGTGTTGACAGTGACGTCATTTTGTGGGACGTTAACAGTGGTGCGAAGATTTGGACGTTTAATCTCCCGAACGACGCCTCTACGGTGGCCTTTGCTCAAACCCAATACGGAACGCGATTGGCTGCCGGCTCCTCAGCCCATCACACCGTTACTCTCTTTGACGCAAACTTTGATGACGTCAGTGGTAAACAAGTCAATGGTAGTTTCAGGACCCTTGCCTTGCTCGGCGGTCACTCGAACTGGGTGATTGATGTGGCCTTTAATGAAGACGCGAGTCGACTGGCGTCCGCAACCTGTGACAAATCCTTGCGCGTTTGGGACGCCACTGCATCAGGTCTCGCTTTAGCAGTTGCTACTGGCTTAATCAAACGACACAGATAGAATGATACATCCAATAATACATACATGTGACTTGAGACAGTAATTGTTTTTCTTCAAAGTCGGATATGAGTACTGACAAGAAAATTATGCAGGGAAAGAATCAGATTGCAAGATTCAGGATACTACAAACCGAGGCAGGTGAACATGTTATGTGTATATCATTTTATACTGCTAGGTAATGCTAAATACATTTCGAATTGAAGTATTAAATGCCGATATGCTGATGATACTTCTGGTCACGCACTCGGTAGCTGCTGGCGTGATTTTGTGTCTTTTGTGAACTACTTTGAATAATTTTTTGACGAGTGCCTAATCATTTGTCCAAACTGAACTATACATATATTGAAAGACCTATCCTAGTATAGTTAGAATCTAAAATCTTGTGGAATTCCGAGACATGGCACATGGTCAACATGACAATTCTTTTCACCGACTGACTAACTCAATTTTGGAGAACACTCCGGTATTGTTTACCGTCAAATAATTAGATTAATCCAATATTCTTGAAATTGCCCTTTTTTAGACAAGGAATAGATCTGCAATAAGCGGTTTGTATCACAACTTTTCTGCGCTCAATGGTTGCGAAATGTGAATCGAATGAAAATGGTCGATTTTCAGCCGATTTTCAGCCCCGTTGGGACTCGCTAAATTTCATGAAATTGAGTCGGAAGGTTAAATCGGAAAATGTCGTTTTTCTCGGAAAGACAAAGCTATTTCAAGGAAAAAAACTACAGCCTGTTTGCACTCTTGCTAGGCGCTGGCTTTATGCATAAGACGAGTGGATTTGAATTTTCTAGCCTTACCGAAGAAATGTGATTTTGTTTGATTTTTGTGGGAATTTGCTCTTGATAACTTAGAAATGACAGTGATATGTGGACTATGTTGGCAACGTGCATTGACAACTGTTGTTACTTCAAAATGATCTTTAACATTTTGTTAGGTATTTGATTGTTAATAACTTAGAAATGAAAGTGATATGCTGGCAGATTTGTTGAACACAAAGAGTTCAACTTCGACCACATGTAAGTCAAAAATAGACCTTCTTTCTCGGAAACACTGATCGCTTGTTTACCGTGTACTTGAATTCTTGGAAACGCAGATACCGTCCATGGAGGGCATGGGAACAGCCTTCGTGAAATTTATTTTTAAAATCGTAAGGTTGTTGCTTTTAACCCAAGAAAATGAAATTCATATCTTTACTGAAGCCACCCCGTAATTTCCTTTTTATCATATAGACAAACTGACTGTTTGCATAAAAAGTGCAAAATGGGGAAATGACGTAGTCAGAGGCAAGATTTATTGCAGTTCTCGGAATCAAGGAAGACCTTAGGACTGAATCAATCCTTAGTCTTGTTCTCAAGCGTCACCTGTTCAGTCATGTACTGCACGAGTGGCGTACCCTCAACCGAATATGTTTGAAACAATTACATCACATCTATTTTCGTATGTAAAGGCTGTAGTAAACATGTTTAAACGACTCAAAAAGGGTTAGATCTTTTCCCGGAAAAGCTGATTTTCTGGGAACTAGCTTCGGTCAGGGGAGAGGTGCTTAATTACTGACCCGTGAGATTCTAAGAAAAGCATCAACTCGGCCGCTACAAGCATGTATTTTTTATATTTTTTTGACACTGACGTCTCGAAGCTAAGTGGGTTTTCCTTTTAGACGAATAATTACCATATATGATTTTTAGCGAAGATCGTTTTATTTTCCAATTTTCTGGAAATAAACACCGTCCTTCAGGTTTAGCCACTGTGAACACATGTAGCTTACTTGTCATGATCNTCTCTTCTCTTCTCTTCTCTTCTCTCCTCTTCTCTTCTCTCCTCTCCTCTCCACTCCTCTAGCGGTTCTGTTAATTTTAAACCCACATGGCACACATTCCTAGCCTAAACTTAATTTAATCATTATAGTTATATTGTTACTAGGTCAGAAAAGACAGGATTCTCGATTTGAAAGGAGCGATAATCTCTTACTAACCGAGCGCGAGGACCGCACTGCGGAATATTGGCTCGAAGTCGTGGCAGTACGAAAATGACCTTGGGGCAATATTCTCCAGTACGGCTCGAGCAAGCAAGTTTAGCAGGTAGTTTATTAAATGGCGCACTCGGGCCGTGCTTGCTTTGTATTTGCCGGGATTTGAAAACAAACAATACTCGGCTTATGAGCGATTCCTTGGAAACGGTCGGCATGGCAAACTCCTGACCAAGAAAGAACCAATCAGAACACTCGGTTTTACCTCACGACTACCTTGCTATATAATAACATGGTTTATTTGATTCTCTTTCAGGTCGAGCACTAACTGAGAGCTTTTGTAAACAACTCAAACATGTGTATGGAATTGCCGACGAGGTTCCCGAAGATTACAAAAGCTTGTGCGAGGTGTTTCCCTCATTTATGGCACACGCTTCCAGGGAACGACCGCTGTGTATAGTGATTGACTCCCTGGATCAGTTGACGGACGAGGACGGCGCAAGGCGCTTCTTAAAATGGCTTCCACGTAAACTGCCTGCGCATGCCTGTATGATAGTGTCAACTCTCCCTGAGGAGGGTGGGTGTATGCAGCGTTTAAAGACATTTGGAATCTCAGCCGAACAGTTCTTGCAGGTAAATAATTCAAGTGAAATATTTAACTTATGACTTATTGAATTAAACCCTGTCACCCCGTGGGGGCATAGATCCTTCAGGAAGTCTCTCCATTGACTGCTTCCAGTTGAAGCCTGCCTCTCTCATCTCCTCCTCTATTGACCGTTGTCAACTGTTCTCCCGCTTTCCCTGTGGGTTCCACCTCAAGGCCTACTTGGTGGTGTTGGTATATATCCACATGCACGATTAATTTCCTTTTCTCAAGTAAGACAGCTTGTGTATTTTTTTGATGTCAGGTGACGCGGCTCGACATGCATGATGGTCCTGCTATCCTAGATGCTTGGCTTGGATCAGTCAACAGAAAGCTGACCCTGGAACAGAGAGAGCTTGTTTTAGAGGCTTTTAACCGCTGTCCATTACCTTTGTACCTGCATTTGCTCTTTGACAAATGTCGTTCTTGGCCTTCATACAAGTAAGTGAGTTTTACCACCTACGTTTCGTAACGTTTAATGCATATTCACATATTTTCTCGCTTTTCAAATTCTCTTGTCTTAATTCTACTCATATATCCAAAAAACTTTTAACCACTGTTTTTAAACTTGAAAATGATTTCAGAGAGGTCGAAATGACGTTTTTTATCTCTAGTTTTTATCCTAAAATGTGTTTCGAAGAAACTGCTCATTAGAATTCAGATTATTGACTCGTGGGTTTTTGTTAAAAGTGAAAAAAAAAAAGTTCAAAAGAAGAAATCAAACTTCTCTCATTACCAGAAAAACCGCTGACATCACCCTTGCCCCTGACGTCTCCGGAATGATACACTCTCTGTACCAGGACCTTGAAAAGTACCACGGTGAAAAGTTTGTGGGAAGAGTCTTGGGCCTATTGGCCGCTGGGACTGATGGGATGAATTCAGACGATATCCTTAATCTTTTGAGCTGCGACGAGGAACTCTTACAGGATGTGCTTGTCTGGCATCAGCCATCAAAACGCCGCTTGCCACCGCTACTACTGGCTCGTCTGAAGCACGATCTTGGTCCCTTCTTGGTGGAGAGGGGTGCGCACGGGGTTTCACTATTGGCGCTCTATCACAGGTAAACATCCGTTTCTGCAACCTAAATGCTCAGGTATTATGAGCAAAAGTACATTTCTATTCCCTTCTTCTTTTTAAGGGAGCATGATCGAAGAGTAAAAAGCCAAATAAAAGCATATTTATTTCAACGCACACCTAGAAATAATGATCTAGTTGGGATAGAAATTGATATGCCAGGGACACTGTTGATGGTTTGTAGCCATGAATTTCGTATGAACGAAGTCTTTAATTCGAATATAGAAATTAACAGAAACAGGTGTTAAGACTGGTAGCAATAAGTCCAAGTTATGATTGAATTGGACCAAAAGGCCAAANTGTACCAGGACCTTGAAAAGTACCACGGTGAAAAGTTTGTGGGAAGAGTGTTGGGCCTATTGGCCGCTGGGACTGATGGGATGAATTCAGACGATATCCTTCATCTTTTGAGCTGTGATGAGGAACTCTTACAGGATGTGCTTGTCTGGCATCAGCCACCAAAACGCCGCTTGCCGCCACTTCTACTGGCTCGTCTAAAGCACGATCTCGGTCTCTTCTTAGTGGAGAGGGGTGCGCACGGGGTTTCACTACTGGCGCTCTATCACAGGTAAACATCTGTTTCTGCAACCTAAATGCTCAAGTGTTATGAGCAAATAATGATCTATTTGGGATAGAAATTGATATGCTAGTGACATTGTTGACATTGTTGACGGTTTGAATTTCGCATGAACGAGGTTTTTAATTCGAATGTAGAGATTCAAAGTCGGGCAAATTTTCTACAATTCTGTCTCCGCGTCTTAAGAAAATAAGAAAAAAGACTAAAAAAAAGGCTAATAGCCACTTTTTCTTCCTAAATAATCAACATAATTTTGAAATATATCCATCTCAGTACCGGTGGTTCAGACGGATTTCTTGAATGAGTGCATGAGTGAAAGACTAAAAATTGCACTCGTCCTACAGGCTCATGCAATTTTGTTAGTCTTTGAAAATGTACTCTTTTTTTATTTTTATTTGTTTATTTATTTATTTATTTATTTTAATTTTATCTTTACTCTTGCCTATTCATTCCAAATTTCACTCGAATCTGATTGCAGCTCATAATCTCAAATTGGCCTCGCGCACGGTGCTAATCCGATTTTGAAATTCATCGCGCATCTACTCCCTGAATTGTATTTCCCTCGGTCCATTTGCTATTAAAAGTTATTTTCAGACACTAACAAAACTAACGCTTTTCCAAATCTTGGATTATTACAGGCAATTCTTCGAAGTTGCCAAAGAAAGGTATCTCAAAGGTGATCGTCACAGAGNAAAAAAAAAAAAAAAAGGCCAATAGCCACTTTTCCTTCCTAAAACAATTAATATAAGTAATACCTTCATCTGCCTAGTAACTACCGGTGGTTCAGACGCATTTCTTGAATGACTGCATGATTCAAAGACTACAAATTGCACTCGCCCTACAGGCTCGTGCAATTTTGTTAGTCTTTGAAAAGTTACTCTTGCTTATTCATTCCAAATTGCACATGAATCTGATTGGAGCTCATAACTTTAAATCGGCCTCGTATACAGTGCAATTCCGATTTTTGAAATTAATCGCTCAACAACTTCCTGAACTGTACTTCCCTCGGTCCATTTGCTATTAAAAGTTATTTTCAGACACTAACAACATTAAAGCTTTACCAAATCTTATATTATTACAGGCAATTCTTCGAAGTTGCCAAAGAAAGGTATCTCAAAGGTGATCGTCACAGAGAAACTCACAGCAAGATTGCTAAATACTTCTTCGGGGAGTATCACGAAAAATATGGCAATGAACGCGCCATTCCTGCGCAGCCCCACGCCTACTCCTCGGTCGCTCTCAACCTTAGGAAACTGGACCGACNTACTTCTTCGGAGAGTATCACGAAAAATATGGCAGCGAACGCGCCATTCCTGCGCAGCCCCACGCCTACTCCTCGGTCGCTCTCAACCTTAGGAAACTGGACCGACTTCCCGTGGCACTTTTCGAGGCGCGCGACTTTGACGGATTGCGAAGTACTCTGGGAGATTTAAGGTTTGTCCAGGCGAAGTGCATGGCGGGAATGGGATATGACCTTCTCGCGGAGGCCACTAAGGCAGTCGGTTGTGCTGTTAGCGAAGACGCTGATCGTGAGGTATTCAAAGTTTGATGTATGAAGCGTGTTTTTTTGTTTTTTTTTGCTGCTTTATAGAAAGTCTTATTTCATCTCGAGAAGTTCTTCTTTCCCTTTAGATTATCTATTAAGAAGGAGAGCTTAGAGCGAGGCTCTTGCCTTCTTCTGGGCTTCCGTTCTCGTATATTGCGACCTAATGATACACTGGATTATACAATAAACCAGCCGGCAGCCATGCACTTTAAGATTTGGCCAAGCAATGAACACAATGGAGTTAAAATCGGATCAGATGAATTAACAAACGTGCTTACACTGCGGATATAATTAGCTCGCTATTGCTTTTATTACAGGAACAAACAAAAAAAAAAGACAAATCTTCAATATTTATTCGGCTCTGTAATAAATGTAGGAAGGCTGGCATTGCGTATAATCATGCTCGGGTACACATATTAGTGTGCGACTGTAATTTAGGTTTCCAATCATTTAATGTGCTTACCCTTGAAGAAAATAAGATCGGAGAGTCGGATCTCAACGTAAAGCAATTAGAATTTTAATCTGACGTAGTCACTTGTTGTAAGTATATTTAAATCCCAGTGATGTCCTTATTAGCTTAACTACTCATCTTTCTAGCTGAGAACTAACTTAGCTTTCACTTTGACTGTTTGCCTATAGGTGATTAAAGATCTTCAAGATATTTTGGGATTCTTACGCAGTGAGATACATATCTTGAGCCGTTTTCCTGCCCTCACATACCAGCAGGCAGCCATGTACCCTCAACACGGGTGGATCGCAAAACAAGCAGAGCAAATGCGTCAGAAATTTGATCAACCCAACCCGAACAATATCTCTGCCCCAGAGNTTGGCCAAGCAATGAACACGATGGAGTTAAAATCGGATCAGATGAATTAACAAACGTGCTTACACTGCGGAAATAATTAGCTCGCTATTGCTTTTATTGCAGAAACAAACAAACAAACAAAAAAAGGCGAATTTTCAATATTTATTCGGCTCTGTAATAAATGTAGGAAGGCTGGCATTGCTTATAATCATGCTCGGGCACACATATTAGTGTGTGACTGTAATTTAGGTTTCCAATAGTTTCATGTGCTTATCCTTGAAGAAAATAAGGTCGGAGAGTCGGATCTGAACGTAAAGCAATTAGAATTTTAATCTGACGTAGTCACCAGTTGTAAGTATATTTAAATCCCAGTGATGTCCTTATTAGCTTAACTACTCACCTTTTTAGCTAAGAACTAACTTAGCTTTCACTCTGACTGTTTGCCTATAGGTGATTAAAGATCTTCAAGATATTTTGGGATTCTTACGCAGTGAGGTACATATCTTGAGCCGTTTTCCCGCCCTCACATACCAGCAGGCAGCCATGTACCCTCAACACGGGTGGATCGCAAAACAAGCAGAGCAAATAC